CTGCGCAGGTGGAGAGCAAGCATGGATCTGCAGGTTATTTGTGAGCTGACCAGCGCCAGCCGCTACATCCTCGGCTACGCGTTCAAGTCCGAAGAGGACTTCACCGCCACACGGCGCATGGAGGCAGTGATCGAAAGACTGGCTGCTAACGCCGGAGAAGACGGGCTGAAAACGCAGGAGGTCTACGCAGCCGCACACGCGGCCCTACAGGGCAGGACTACCTCCACGTTCGAAGCTTGCCACTTGCTGCTTAGCTTTCCAGTCGTGGAGTTCTCCCGAGACAGCATGTGGATCCAAGCAGGACCGCCCGAAACATGGACGCTGTGGGTACCACCGAGGGAGGAAGCGGCAGCCCTAGCAAATCCGACGATGTACTACGAGAAGAAACGTGAACTGGACTGGACAATGCCAGTGGCTCAGCGGAACTATCGACACCTGCAAACATCGTTCGCAGATCAAGAGATCGCGGTTCCTGTGGAAGGGTCGCCCCGTCGAACTATGCGGTGCTGGAGGGATATCACTTTCTTCGATTTCTGTGCTGGCTTTCGCTTCATCGCGCAAGAATTCCCGAAGCCTCGAGATCGACCAGCGATCGTGGGATATCGCAACTTCAGCCCCGATCTGCAGCCAGAAGAATTCTACTATTCCAAGCTGCTGCTTCACCTACGCTGGGAAACTCCCGGAGACTGGCTGCAGCCGCAGGATCAGGGACGGCATTCGGCCGCCTTCCACCGAATAGCAAACGATTCCCAAGCGTACCCTACCTTCCTGCAATCCATCTGTTTCCCGGAGCTGGATGGCACGGTCCAGGCAGCTCGGAAACTGCAGGCCGTCCAAGCGGCCATGTACATGAAGGCAAGGCTATCGCCCAGCGAACTTCGAGATGGGTGGTCGCACAGCCGCGCAGACGAGCAAAATTACCGAGACTCCCTCGAGATCATGGAGGCGCTCCGACAGAGGCACGGGGGCAACATCGACTACCTGGCTCCGGAGACCGTACCTACCGGCTCCGCCGGCACTGCTTTCGCGCCGGTGGAGGGCGGCGAGGCGGCCTTCGACTTGCTCAACGCCCCAGATCCAACATCGCACACAAAGCGACAACGACAGGCGATGGAGTACATCATCCGCACGGTGCTCGACAATCCGAACACAAAAGCTGGCCCAAGCACGAAGCGCCTGCGATTGCTTCTCCATGGTCCTGGAGGTTGTGGCAAATCCGTGGTGGTCCGCGCGGCTGCGCACATGCTCCGCCAGAGTGGCAAAGGCGTCGCCATCGCTGCGCCCACGGGCGTGGCAGCCTGCAACATCAACGGGCTGACGCTTCACCAGTGTCTATTCCTTCCGGTGGTGAATCGAAGCCACGGCAGGGCCTGCGATGCCCCACTGCCGAGGGGCCCCCACTTGGCAGCCATGCAAGAATTCTGGGCGCATATTTCGGTCTTGATGGTGGATGAGATCAGCTTCATATCCCGGTTCATGCTGGACCGCATCGACCAACATCTGCGTTTGGCCAGGAACCTACCAGATATTCCTTTCGGAGGAATACACGTCGTCTTCGCAGGCGATCTCTACCAGCTACCACCGCCGGGAGGCGATCCCTGCTTCTGCAGCTCGCTCTGGACTTCTCTAGAGCTCTGTGAGTTGGAAGGCAATCAACGCGCCGCCGAAGATCCAGAATGGGCAGCACTGCTAGCTCGCGTTCGCATCGGCAAATGGACCGACGCCGACGTCGAGGTCCTCAAAGGCCTCAGAGTCAGGAGGGATGGCAAAGATCAAGTCGCAGATGGAGCAGTTCATCTCTTCGCTACTCGCCAAGCCGTGAACGAAGCAAATCAGCGATACTTGGACGAGCATCTGGAGAGAACCCAGACGATGCTGTACGAGTGTCCGGCCATCGACGTCAGCGTGAAGACAGGCGCGCCGTTGAAGCCGGAACTCGCATGGGCCGAACCGGAGAATACCGGAGGACTGGAAGGACTGCTCAAGATAGCGGTGGGCGTTCGCGTCATGCTCCGCTTCAACATCGACGTCCCGGACAAGCTCGTGAACGGTGCTTGCGGCATCGTGGCCCACATCGACGCAGAGAACACAGGCGAAGTCACGAAGATCTGGGTAAAATTCGAAGGAAAGGCAGGCGAACGCTGGTGCAGCGACAACGAGACCGAGGCCGTGGGCATAGCACGACGAACGGCATCCTTCCAAGACCAGACCGACAACAAGGCAGAGCGGAGACAATTTCCACTGGTGCTGGCCAAGGCGATCACCATCCACAAGAGCCAGGCAGCAACGTGTCGTCAGGGTGCACATTGCAAACTCGACAGTACAGTCACCCAACAGGGACAAGCTTACGTTGCCCTGTCTCGCTGCCCCACCCGGCAACACTGCACCCTACAAGCCTTCAACCCCAGCTGCCTGCGGTACAATGTCCATGCAGCATGGGCCTTGACGAAGCTGAAGGCACAACAAGCAGGTCAAACTGGCACCGAGCTATGGCAGCAGCTCATGAAGCCTCCACACAGCAGGGCACACTACATAGAGGAGCTTGCCAAGCTGCCCCGTCCGACCCTCCCGGGTCTGGAGGAGCAGAACGGCTGCCAGCAGCCCTGGACCTGCCCGCAATGCGGCGAAGAGACCGCCAACACGAAGGCGGCCATAGCAGCACACAAGCGCACATGCCCCAAGAAAGCGGCAAAGCCGAGCCGAGCAAAGCCCAAGGCCAAGTCCAAGGGTAAAGCAAAAACAACGCCCCCAGCAACAGCCCAACCGAGCACAGCGGCCAGCAGCAACACAGCAGGACAGACGCGGGGCACGAAGAGGAGCGCCGCAGAGGGTCCAGCGACATCCCGACCCGACAAACTGGCCAAAGGCAGTGGAGACACGCTGCCCAACACGGAGGACGAGTACTTCGAGAAGCAAGAAGCAGCTCGATGTGGACAGCACGCCCTGAACAACGTGCTAGGCTTCCAATGCTGCAACGCAGAGGACATGCTGCACGCAGCAAGAACATTCGTTAGGGAGAACCCCGATCTGGGAGACAGGCTGGACATGCACACGGCACCGGACGGGGATTACTCCATCGAGATCATGATGATGGCACTAAGGACGACGGCCATGCAGCGGTACGACCGCCTGCGCTGGGGCATGAGAGATCAGCGAGCCACCTGCATCGCCGACCTGGAGGGTTGCATGGGCGCGGTGCAGCACCACCAGAACAGACATTGGGTTGCCTTGAGACGCTCTGGCCATTCGTTTCTGTACCTGGACTCCCTGAGCCGTGATGCACACCCAAGGCGCCTCAGTGCCGAGGAAGCCGAAGCGACAATGCGCGCACATCCGACTTACGCAGTGGAGGAACTCTGACGGCACACTCGAGCTGCCACCGCGTGCCAAGCACGTTATAGAAGTCAGATTCGAAAGCTTTTAAGCCCGACACAGCAGGCTCCAGTGCGTGTGCCTCGCCCATGCGTATATACAGAGCGTGGGCCACGGACCGCAACAGGTGCCGCTGTGCGAATTCGAATAGGTGCACAATGTACATACGAACCCGCAGATGATGTGCCGGCGTCGCAAAGCAGAGCCAGACACAGCTGCCAAGACGATGCCCATGTCGGCTGCGGGCACAGACCAGCGCCAAGTCGATCGAACAAACTACCGCCGACTTCCATTCGGTTCACTCGCAAAGCTTCACTCAGATATGCGAACCATGACGGGTGCCGAGTAGGAATGCATGCTATGCCATTCGCACGGTCAAGCAGGCGGCGTCCAGAACTTCAGCATCGCAAGGCTCGGACCCAAGCATCAGCACGTGGCTCTCCTGCCCTGAGCAACCGGCCGGGTGCAATCAGACGCCCAAGGAACTTCCGACACCCGATGGCAAGACCATGGGTGCAGGCCGATTTCTGTCGGGGCAGCTAAGCTGCGAGAACCAGGTTTCGAACTACAAGCAGCGAAACTCGCGCTGCCCGGTCAGGCGACGCTGCCACAACGGCCCCAGGCTGGAGCATGTCGGACCTGCTAGCAGGACGCAGTACCATACTTCTGCCCGGCAGCGAAAAACACGCTAGCAGGCAGGGTCTACTTCATGCAATTGTCAAGAAAAGCCTAGGCCTAGGTGTTACTTCACACGTCTAACATGTCCGGGATGCACGCAGCAACATTTCATCGAGGATCGTGTCACAACACGAAGCGATGCACACCCGAATGATTGGATGGCTCGAGAATGTAGCCCTCTCGATCAGCTCTGCGACGTAGTTCCTGGATGAGCAAGTAGGCGATCGACCCTCCCCGCCGTTTCACAGGCGACGCTGGACACCTCGGCAACGCAAGCTCGGGGCCAAGAATCACTGCACTAGGGAGCAAAACCCGGAGAACAGGCTTAGTACAATGCCTCGAATAGATAATCAACATTTGCGCAGCGTAAGCATGCATAGGGCTATATACAGAGCAGAGAACCTGCCGCAACGACACGGGGCCTCCCCCGCCCAACAAAAGCGGAACACTCCACACGCTTTGTCAGGTCGGCTTCGACGGCACCCGATGCTGTCAGGAAGAGAAGAGGCCATCGTGCACAGATTCGGGAAACACTCATCGATCTGCACGAAATCCGACAAGACGGGCGCATGCGGAACATGCGGCGTCCAAGCCACTTAAACAGAAGCACACGCCGCTTCCACGGCTCGAGTAAGGCACACGGTTTAGCAACTTTCGAGCCGGACAGCCCGACCGTCGTACGACACCTTGATACCGTTCCTGGCACCAACAGGACGAAACAAAGCAGAAACAGCCTATCTAACAGCAGAGCAAGTCCACGTGCAGCGCTAAGAGCAACGTGTCCGGCATGGCCTCATCCACGAAGCGCCGAAGACTGGTTGGCCCCGCAGAGAACAAACCGAGCCCGGAGACACCACGGTTGGTGACCCTGACGTCGCTGGGACTTCACGACGTACTACCACCACAGCTTGCGCACCGGGACAACCCGCCCTGCTTTCCATGTCGCCCAGCAGAGTTGCCCAGCGATCCTCCGGAGATTCGCCTGGCACACTGCCTACGGCTCGTCAACAGTCACCCGCGGGATGAGCACATCACCTTCGAAGCAAAAGACCATGCTTACTTTTGGAGAAAGAGGCGTGCAGCGAAATCGGTGACCCAACTGGTGCACGAGTTCGTGAACGAGTTCTGCGAGGAGCAAGCGATCAGCTCCATGCGGGGAAGCACCAACTGGCCACGCCCAGGCTACCTTAAATCGGTGCTCTCCAAGCAGCAAGAAGCCGAACTCGCGCAGCTGAGAGACACAGAACAGCTCCGACAAGCGTTCCAGCAGGAAGGACGAGACGAGCTGCAAATCTGCAAACTCGCTCACCGGCTACTTGCACGCGATCGGAAGGACGGCCCGATCGCCAAGCTCGTGGCAGGGTTAGGGCTCTCCGAGAACGAGATCCGGGAAAAGTGGGCGCAAGCTCGAGAAGACGGCGCGAAAGAAGGCACGTGGATGCACGCACAATTCGAGCATCTACTGAACGGTGGATCCCTTCCAAGCCGGACGAAAGAAGTCGTCCTGCTGGCACAATTCCTACGCTCCCATCCAGGCATGACGGCATATCGCACAGAATGGCGGGTTTACGCAGAGGAAGAGGACGTGGCTGGCAGCATCGACTACGTAGCGGAACGAACGGACGGCAGCAAAGTCATAGTGGACTGGAAGCGGACAAGAAGAACGAGATTGAGCGGCGAGGCTTTCGGCAAGACCATGCGGCGACCGTTGTGCAGCGTACCCGACTGCACCCTTTGGCACTACCGCCTCCAGCTGAACGTGTACAGGTACATTCTCGAGAAATACTATGGGCAGAACGTCTCGTCCATGTACATAGTGGGCACCAACCCCGACAACGGCGACCATCCATATGTCGACGAAGTGCCACGAATGCAGACAGAGACGGAAGCTCTTTTCCAACGTTGAGCAAACCATCGGCACGAAGTGCAGCGCCAGCGAGCGTGTAGCAATGCACGTAACAGCCTTTGACAATGCTATCTGATACAGGCAAACTTGAAGCACCGAGAGAGTCCGCATCTCAGTTCATGCCGGGGGTAGCATTTCCAGATTCGATTGCCTGCCAAGGGTGCAAGCACAGCGGTTGGACCTCGCCTTACCATATCTCTGACAACTATATCCTGTGCGGCGTTCTGATTACATGGTGTAGAACGTAGCGACCATAGAATGCCCCAAGGAGGAGTAGCTCAAGCATGCGTGGCAGGAAGGAGATGGGCGTTTGGAGCAAGAAATGCCGCCAATGTCGAACGTGGAATTAGCGTGCCGGAACGCCGTGGGGGAACCCACCGAAACCAATCTCGTGCGGCTGTGCCGCCTTTGGCCAGCCGGCCCAGCGAGGTGTGTCAAGCACAGCTTTGGCCAGCCGGCCCAGGGTCTGCGGGCAAAAAGCGACTGCAGTGATGGGCTCTCAAGGCACGACATGAGGAGTCGACGTGTAGCAGAGCAACAAGAGCCAAGGGTAGCAGGCCAGAACGTGCTGGGATCGTGCCAGTAACACTACATAGTCACTAAGCCACATGCAAAGCAGGCTCACAACAGGCAGCCCATCTTGGGGGGCCCTCCAAAAAGAGACCACCAGCAAGTCTGGGAGCCTGCAGCGAGCAGACGGAGGCCTCCTGCACTCTGCCCTGCCTTTGCCCTGCCTCAACCTGCTGTGCTGCCCTGCCCTGCCCTGCCCTGCCCTGCCCTGCCCTGCCCTGCCCTGCCCTGCCCTGCCCTGCCCTCCTGCCCTGCCCTGCAATCCTGCCCTGCCCTGCCCTGTCTTGCCTTTGCTGGAAGACACCAAGAAGACTTCGACATAAGTTTGGGTGCTAAACCTTAGAAGGAACAAGCTAGAGTGGTTTGGGCACCAGAAGGGGCGTGGGGTGAGAAAGTAAACCAAAAGAGCCAGCCACGATCAGGCTTACACGGCCAAGCGTCCCATGACGACGCACCGGAAAAGACACAGATTCGAATCATTCCGCTGATCCGCCACTCTACAGCAAACCCTAAAATGACGAAGCCAGACGAGTCCGAGACTAGCTACTGGTTCACCCGCTCAACCCCCAAGGCCGGCCAAACCCGCCGCGCAGACAACCAGAGGTTCTGCAAAACCCGGCCCAAAGCAACAGTAAAGAACAAACATAAAAAAAAAATCGCAGCCCGAGCCAAACAAAATTTCGTTACACAAAGATCGCCATGCCGCGATGGATTGGCGAGGCCAGGCGGGTTCGGGACTCACGAGTGGTGCTCCCGCTAAACCTGCCGCCTCGCCAACCCCCTCGCGCAGAGCAAAACTGAAAGGAGCCGAGGGGTCCGGGACTAGCGAGTGGTGCTCCCGCTCGACCCCCCGACTCCTTTCCGGAATGGGGTTCTTGGCTTAGCCCCTCGCCATACCACCGTGGGGTTCTCGGCTTAGCCCCTCGCCACGAAACAAAACCAACCAAGCGCACTCACTCAAAACCTGACTGCCTCTGAGCCCCAAGCCACCTCCCAAAGCCGAAAAAACCCTGAACACCCAAGCCTTGCGCACTCCGACCTCGCTGCCTCAGAGCCCAAATCCACCTGGAACCCCTGAAACCTCGCGAGGGAGTGCCCGGCGGAACAAAGGCGAAGGGACCGGGCCTCGGTAATAGATTTTAAATTTGGGACTAAGGGTTTTACACTTAGGGGCTTGAGGCTCAAGGCCGAGCGTTTTCGGATCTAGAACTTAAGGGTAAGGATTTCCAACGTGGGGTTATAGGATGTGGGATCAAGGGTTCTGCACTTGGGAATTTTGGATTGAGAGCGTTGGACTTCGGATTCGGGAATGAGCTTCGGATCCAATGATTCTGGGTTAAAAGTTGGAGTGTTCAGACTTCAGGGTTAGTGTGAAGGATTTGAGTCTGCGAGGCTTGGGCTAAAGCTCCGAACAAGGCTTGGGTATATAGAGTTTTAGAGGACAGTTTACTGAGACCTCCGCTCGAAAGAAAATGGATAGACCTGAAGCAGCAAGCCTGAAGGCTTTTGAGTTAAGGATTTCGGGTTTTGCAACAAGAATATCGAGTTAACACAACGGCTTCATGGTTCGCAGTTTAAGATAGTCTGCGGGCTCTCAGATACGGCAGTTTAGACATAAGTCTAGGATATCGGATTTAGGGCTTGAGACCTAGATCGTCCAAGAGAGCCCGAGACCTAAAACGCCCGACAAAACCCCGAACCCTCAGCAAAACCCGAGGCAGCTGCACACTACACCTCACGACCTCGGAAAACCAACCCACCTGCCAAGACCGGAAAACCCCTGAACGCCCAAGCCTTGCGCACTCGGACCTCGCAACCTCGGAGCCCCAACCACCTGCAATCCCTGAAGCATTGACAGAGTCCCCGACCAAGATGAAGAGGTCCGAACCTGAGCGATCCGGGCGGAGGGCACGGGAAAGAGGCGCTTGGGACACGTGCACTAAGACCTAGGAGTTTTGAGTTTAAAGTCGAGTTTGTCATTTGAGTTCAAGGCTCGGGTCCAGGGTCAAGGGTTTCAGAGTTGAGGGTCTAAAGATCGAGCGGAGATTCAAGTGTATGAAAAATTCGAAATCAATGACTGACAACTCCGATCGATCCTTCCTGTTCAATTGGCCCAACCCTTGCAGAGCGATGGAGTTATCCACCGAGCCAAATTGCAAGGTTTCACATTAGGCATTAAACGTCTGGGATGCAAAGTTTCGGATTGAAAGTTTCGGTTTTGAAGCTCAGGAGTAGAACTAGCGCTTGACTTCAGGAGTTGGAGCTTTGGATTGGGAGTTTTGGAGCTAAGGTCTCGACCTTACGATCTGGGTTCGGGTTTCGGATGTGGAGCTTTGGAATTAAGCCATCAGGTATTGGATTTAGGGTATAGGACCTAAGCAACCCAAAAGAGTTCAGGGCCTACCACACCCGAGACAACGCGAAATCCTGAACAGGTACCCTGGGCGGCTGCACTCTAAACCTGACTGCCTCGGCAAACCAACCCACCTCGCAAGACTGAAACAACCCTGAACACCCAAACCTTGCGCTCTCGGACCTCGCTACCTCGGAGCCCAAACCACCTGCAATCCCCGAAGCCTCGGCAAAGAGTGCCCGACCGGGATGAAGAGGTCCAGACCTGAGGCGAAGCGCAGAGGAGAGCTGAAGAAGGACTTAAAGGAGGGGCAAGACCGGGCACTGCCAGACACCCTCAGGCCAGCATAACGAAACCTCGAAGCCCCGCACACGCGGCCCTACCTACACTCCAACAGTCCCACGGCTGCACTCCGAGGTCCCGGCCGCACGCCGCTCGCTCCGACGGCCCGCGCCGCCCCACCGACCCCCGCTCCCACGGCTTGACCAAGAAAACGAGCAGCTCGGGCACAAGTTCAGCAAGGCTGCAAAACAACAGCGCAATTCTCACAGCGGATTTTAATGGAGGCCCTCAAAAAGACCCCCCAAAGCGCAGACATCAACAAAAGCATATGAGCGGGGAAAATCCTCGCAGGTTGGGAGTATGCCACAACACTTCCTGAGGTCCCTCCCTCCCTCACTCCCTCCCTCCCTCCCTCCCTACCCCTCTCTCCTTTTCGGTGACCTAACGAGCCCTTTTAAGGGCATTCCAATGCAACTGAGAGCATCTGAGCATTCAAATGCCTTCGAAATCATGACCGAAGCCTGTCAGTACGAACATATTGATCCCGGGTATCCTACATCAACTTCGCGATGACGATCCTAGTAGCTACGTAACTACCACTGTTGCACGCCACCAATTTCGCGGCCGCCCCCCCCCCCCCTCCCTTTCTTTCTCTCCCGCCAAGCTTCGTGTCAAATTTGGTAAAAGTCTTCGCGTTTGCTGTTGACACCGAGTACATACGTTTTCACGTGAACTTGTTTATGCGACTTGAAAGTCACAATGATGCTACTGTTATCTGCAACTTTTGCACTGAACCAATTTCGTGGCCGCCCCCCCCCCCCCCCCCCCGTAGCCTCAATTTAGGCGGTCAAAACGTCTCGCCCAAAAGTTTCGACTCGTCTACTCGTCCCTGCTCACGTGATCCTGGGCATCCTACATCAACTTCGCGATGACGATCCCAGTAACTACCACTGTTGCACGCCACCAATTTCGCGGCCGCCCCCCCCCCCTCCCTGTCTTTCTCTCCCGGCGTTTGCTGTTGACACCGAGTACACTGCAACTTTTGCACTGAACCAATTTCGTGGCCGCCCCCCCCCTCCCCCCGGGGCCCCAGCCTCAGGACAGTCAAAACGTCTCGCTCAAAAGTTTCGGTCGAAACGTTTCGCAGCCCCCCAGCGAATCTGAAAACATGGTTCGCAAAAAAAAAACTTTCGTTCAAAACTTTCGTTCAAAACGTTTCGGTCAAAAAGTTTCGTTCAAAACGTTTTTGGGACCCGGGTCAAGGGTTTCAGAGTTGAGGGTCTAAAGATCGAGCGGAGATTCAAGTGTATGAAAAATTCGAAATCAATGACTGACAACTCCGATCGATCCTTCCTGTTCAATTGGCCCAACCCTTGCAGAGCGATGGAGTTATCCACCGAGCCAAATTGCAAGGTTTCACATTAGGCATTAAACGTCTGGGATGCAAAGTTTCGGATTGAAAGTTTCGGTTTTGAAGCTCAGGAGTAGAACTAGCGCTTGACTTCAGGAGTTGGAGCTTTGGATTGGGAGTTTTGGAGCTAAGGTCTCGACCTTACGATCTGGGTTCGGGTTTCGGATGTGGAGCTTTGGAATTAAGCCATCAGGTATTGGATTTAGGGTATAGGACCTAAGCAACCCAAAAGAGTTCAGGGCCTACCACACCCGAGACAACGCGAAATCCTGAACAGGTACCCTGGGCGGCTGCACTCTAAACCTGACTGCCTCGGCGAACCAACCCACCTCGCAAGACTGAAACAACCCTGAACACCCAAACCTTGCGCTCTCGGACCTCGCT